TGTGTGAGTGTGTGTGTGTGTGTGTGTGTGTGTGTGTGTGTGTTACAGATGTGTGTGTTATTGTTGTATTTACACTGATGTACTGCAGCTGTCAGTCTGCTGTGATTCCAGCGATTAAAACTCTGATAAACTTCAAGAAAAACCAACATTTGACCAAAGAGACATAGCCACTCCCCCTAATATGAATATATATAGATAATATGCGCTATAAATAAGCTTTAGAATCAATAGATAAAGCATTAAACATTAAACGACGCAGCTTTCCTGTGCTTTACTCGTGTTCATTATCGCTAGTAGATACATCACAATGTTACATTAGAAAATAATTGATTCATTAAAAAGTTCAGTATAAAACAAACAGACTGCACTGATTTAAACACTTTACACAATTAAAAACAAACCTTTCTTCAGCCGAATCACAGACGCAGGAGCGCGGCGCAGACTCATGACGTCATGTCACCACACCAAAATAAAAGTCCAGCTCTAACAAAACAAATCCTGCAGGAATTCCTGAAGGAATGCTGCGTTCTGTGCAGGGATCATGCAGGACATAGACATTAGGATTTAATATACATCTGTACGAAAATTTAGATTTTTTTAAGCGTTGTGCAGGACTCATATTAAACAGTCCACTCTTCCTGCAGGATAAACCTACTGGCTGTTTATATTGTATTGTAGCCTACAGTGTTTAAAACATGGACACAACTACTTACCTGCAATTCTTTATATCATTTACTAACAAAAATCTAATAAAATCTTCATAATAAAAAATATAATAACAATTTCACTGACATAATATCTAAAACAAGTTTTATTTCACAGTGGATTTGATACATTGCACTGTACAGAATTTTTCATTCTTCCCACATTCATGTTAAAATTATTTCATACATACATTAATTGTATCACACCTTAACTGTAAATATGACAAAACTGTAAATATTACAGAAAATGTTATATACATATTACACATCACATATAAAAATTGTAAATATTGTTTAATAAAAATGCATATTGCAAAAATTCGTAACCTACTGTTGTACAATACAATCATGCCAAGAATTAAATCCACAGTACACTTTAAACTTTCGCATCAACAACCAAAGCCATGGACAGACCTATAAACATACTACATACTGAATAGACTTAAACATGCAAAACCACAAGAAGTGTAACAGTAACCAAAGTGTACTTGCCAAAATAAACTTGTAATTTATAAATAAACAATATGAATATATGACAGATATAGACTTCTACAGCCCTGAATGTCAGCGGAGACCAGGACAACTAGATGAGCCGCAGATACAGATCCCCAGTGAAGACCTTATCTCAGACAGCCACCGGCACACGACCACAGGAACCAGATGAGTCCTCTGCACAATCTGACTTTGCTGTAGCCTGGAATTGAACTGCTGGTTTTGTCTGGTCAGAGGAGAACTGGCCCCCCGACTGAGCCTGGTTTCTCCCAAGGTTTTTTCTTCATTCTGTCACCGATGGAGTTTTGGTTCCTCTGGCTTGCTTAGTTGGGGACACTTAATATCCAGTGATATCGTCGACTTGATTGCACAGATACTATTTAAACTGAACTGGATGATGACATCACTAAATTCAATGATGAACTGCCTTTAACTGAAAATTTTATGTTTAATCTTGTCATTTTACATTATTGACACACTATTTTCCTATTTGATACTGTAAAGTTCTTTGACAATCTGTATTGTTAAAAGCACTACATAAAGTTGACTCGACTTTATATAGTTTGATAAGTGCATGGAGCAATGGCTACAAAATGTTAGTGTATATTTTCTAAATGGTTTGACTAAAATTCTTTATGAAATAAAGAAAATAAAATTCATTATTAATGTCTATAGATACATGCAACATTTTGTGTGAATTAGTCACGTGGTATAAGAGGAGATGGAAAAATACGTTTTTGCCCACTCAAAATGGCCGATGGTCTACAACATGTTGTACTAATGTTGTCCACTAGTGGGAAACACAAGATAAGAAATCTTTTTTTCTATCAGGTTCCATCACTCTGAAAAACAAATAAATTCTTACAGGGGTATATGTTTACGGAGGTGAAAGCTGTGTGTTTTCATATACTATATTTTATAGTATATAAAAATAGTTTATTTATGGTATATTTTTGTCATCATTTACATGCAAATGTACCAGCTGATGTCTGTAGTTCACATATATAATACTCAGAAGGGATCAGATAACTGGCATTGTGTACGCAGATTTTTTATGTGTTTCACCAATTTCTCAGGGATCAACTGTTAATATCAATGTGAATGACACATCAACCCACATAAACTGAAATCAGTGTAAATGGTTTAGAATAATGACTTGTAGCAAAATGCAAAAAAAAAAAAAACTTAATTATCATTAAATGTTACCTTAATATAGGTAACTATATCTAGGTTAATATATAGGTTATATATAGTTTAATATATAGGTTAATATATCCAAATAATATTACAAACATTTTTAAAGTTGCATGACATAACTTTATTAATTGCTGTTCAGTTAAAATAAAAGGTTGCCTCTTTCTATTGCAGTAGCCTACATATTCCTGCTTTCAAGTGTACTCATGCCAACCTTCATGAATTTCTGATGCGCTGATTGCTGCTTACAATTTATAAAATATCAGCAATTTATATCAATAGAAATAAGAGATGAAGGACGTTACACTAATGTTGTCCACCTGAGGAAGGCACAAGACAACAAATTATTTTAGATCGTGTAGTTTCAAATCGGTGTAAATGGTTCAACAGATCAGTTTTCAAAGAAATCGGTGATCTCCAAAATACCTTCATATTTATACATCATAATTTCAGAAAACATCTGTCAAGTTGTCAGACATGATTGGATATATTATAGTCCAGTTCAAATGAAGAGACAATATTATTTGTCTATTGTGATATGGTAAATAAAATAATACTTCCATAGAAAGACATTTAAATAGGCCTACTAGTATTATGTTTGAAAATAGACATGGCCATTGGAACATAACTGTATCCTCTACACGAGCTTGATATTACTTTGACGTCAAATATTAGTCACTGATGCTGTAACTTCATTTTAAATTCACTTTGAACGGCAAATTCTTCCAGTGGTAACTAGGTGAAATTAGGAAGGTAATCCTCCAATTAAATTGGTTTAATGTTTAAGTAGGCCAATTTGTTTGACGTTAAATTTACATCAAATCAATGTCGTTTCAGGTTTTTGACATCAGTTGGATTGCATATTTGACCTGTTTTTTGTTGTCTTTTCAACATCAATTGCCCAATGGGTTGTGCTTGGACCCCGATGATCGCCGCTTGTAGATATTTATACTACAGTAAATACAGCTGGATTAAACAAAAACTGTGTCCTCCTTCGTTTTAGCGAAACAATGTAATTATTTTAAAGGGAGGCGATTACTTTCTATTCTTATTTTTAGTTCAAAAGTATACTAACAGCGGTCTTGAACAAACTTCTTTTAAGGGTACTTTCTTTTAATAAAGAACAGGTTCACATTTAAATGACTTTTCATATATTTGTAAGTCTGCTGTTTTTATTACACCAATCACAATTGAACTGTCTTTCTCCAGAGTGAACGCATTATTTCTAAACCTTTTGTCACATGGGAAACGAGGAATTCTTTCCAGAATGAGTTTGCAAATGCTGTTTCAGGCTTTTGTTATATGTGAAACTGATGTCACACTGAGGACACTTGTAAGGCTTCTCTCCAGTGTGAAGTCTAATGTGTTCCTTAAGGCTTCCTTTAACTGTGAAGCTCTTTTCACACTGAGGACACTTGTAAGGCCTCTCTCCAGTGTGAATTTTTATGTGCACCTTAAGTTTTCCTTTAAACATGAAACTCTTTCCACACTGAGGGCAGGTGAAAGGCTTCTCTCCAGTGTGAATTTTTATGTGAGACTGAAGATATTTTTTGATTGTGAAACTTTTTCCACAGTGATGGCACATGCAAGGCCTCTCCCCAATGTGATTTTGTACATGATTCTTAAGGTGATTCCTGTCAGCAAAACTTGTTTCACACACATGACATCTAAAACATTTCTCTCTTGAGTGAATACTCATGTGATGCTTAAGGCTTATTTTCCGTTTGAAACTCTTTCCACACAGTTCGCAGGTGTAAGGCTTCTCTCCGGTGTGAACTCTCATGTGAATCATCAGATGGCTATTTTCTGTGAATCCCTTCCCACACAGTTTGCAGGTGTGAGGCTTCTCTCCAGTGTGAACGATCATGTGAGACATCAGACGAGCATTTGATGTGCAACTCTTCCCACACAGTTTGCAGGTGTGAGGATTGTCTCTGGTGTGAATTCTCATGTGAGTCTTAACACATCTTTTTAGTTTGAAACACTTCCCACACTGTTTGCAGGTATAAGGTTTGTGTTTGTGGATTCGTAAGTGGCTTGTAAGGCTTTGTTTTCCACTGAAACTCTTTCCACAGTGTTGACAGGTGGAAGATCTCTCTTCAGTGTGAACTCTCATCTGGACTTTAGGCTGTGTAGTTTCTCTTTTACGAGTCTGAGAGTAACTAAAAGATTTTTCCCCAGCCATGATATCATGACATTTCTCAGTCTGATTTTTTTCTTCCGTTTCATTCAGTTCTCGACTCTTCTCTTTCAGCGCCATCAGGTCGAAGGTGAAAAGAAACAAAAACAAGTTAAGACCAGTTTATTGGCACAAAGCAAGACATGAAAACATTTAGACATTTAAAACATCAAATCCAACAACATGTATGCTAGATCTGAAGAAAGTGTAACCTGTAATCTCAGAACCTCGTGTCCTTAAGTCTTTGCTTTCTCTAGGACACGTCCCAAATACCAACAAATACCAAATAAAGCGATTTGTCAGCGGACACGACAAGAGCATGTAAGTGTTTTGCTTAATACCAGTTTTCAGTTTCCGTAATTTAGAATAAATATCTGATAGTTAGGAGGATTAATACATTTAACTCTTATTTTATTTAAAAGTTTATGCTGATTGTGCATGTTGTTTGCCATTAGCTGTAATTAGAATTTACAAAAAGACTTGTTGCTAACTGAACATTTGTGCTTAAGTAGCAAACTGTACCACATTTAGTTTACATTTCGAGACAACTGCACACTATAGGCTTTGCTGTGCTAATTAGAAAGGCGTGGACAGCTGTTTTCACTCAAGTGAGTTAGCTCTGTATTTAGGTGGAGTTTGTTCACTGGTGCAGAAGCGTCAGCATTAGCCCTCCTTGTGTGAAGACCTACGAGTGTAAAGACAACTTATCCCCCACCCCACAACCGGTTGGGAGAGGTGGGGGTACGTGTCTCATTTCCAAAAGCTGGAAATACCTCCCATGCTCTTATAACCTCAACAACACTTCCTTTGAATTTTATGCCATTAGGGCTGCACGATTAATCAAATGCGATTGTAATGCACATCTCGTCAGTAAAGCCAGGTATGTGATAAGTGGTAAATCTCCATCACCTGCTTTCAGATGGAGCAGCATTTACTACACAGAGCCGTATTTCTCTGACAAGCTATGCAAAAAAAAAAATCAAGTCACAACTTCTTGCTACTGGGGTTCCTCAAGGCTCAGTGCTTGGACCACTTCTCTTCTCCATCTACATGTCATCATTAGGGTCTGTTATTCAGAAGCATGGCTTTTCTTATCACTGCTATGCTGAAGACACTCAACTCTACTTCTCATTCCAACCAGATGATCCAACAGTAGCTGTTCGAATTGCAGCCTTTCTGACAGACATTTCTGACTAGATGCAGGACCATCACCTTCAACTCAACCTTGCTAAGAAAGAACTGCTCATGGTCTCATCCAACCCCGCAATTCATTACAACTACTCTATACAGCTAGGTTCGTCCACCATAGCTCTTTCCAGGACAGCCAGGAACCATGGAGTTGTGATTGATGATCAGTTAAGCTTTACATACCATATTGCTACTATGGCCTGGTCTTGCAGATTTGCCTTTTACAACATTATAAAGATAAGACCCTTCCTACCATAGAAGGCCACACAACTCCTTGTCCAAGCTTTTGTTCTCTCCAGACTGGACTATTGTTATGCTCTCTCAGCGGGTTTCCAGCATGTACTATCAAGTCTCTGCAACTGATCCAGAATGTGGCAGCTAGAGTTGTCTTCAACGAGTCGAAGAAAGCTCACGTTACACCTCTCGTCATCAGTTTGCACTGACTGCCAATAGCCGCTTGCATCAAATTCAAGCTACTGATGTTTGCCTACAGGATAACCACTGGCTTTGCACCAATATACCTAAACTAGCTAGTTCAGACTTATACGCCCTCCAGAAGCTTGCACTCTGCAAATGAACAATGCCTTGTGGTGCCATCTCAAAGAGTCACAAAATCACTCTCACTGACCTTTTTCTGGACTATTTCCAGTTGGTGGAATGACCTGCATTTCTCAATTCAAGCAGCTGAGTCTTTAGCCATTTTTCAAAAAACATCTAAAGACACATCTTTTTTTTGTTATTATTATTTGTCAATTATGAGTATGCGTTATATCACATACATTTTAGTATAATGTTTTTCTAGTCTCCGCTGCAGCAAAACAGTTGTGTTTGAGAGATTTAATGTCTTCTTTTATTTCAGTTGATTTCATCTCAGGCTGTGGCTGAAGTCAGTTGTAGTTCTTGTGTTTCTCTTTTCTTCAGTGATTCTGCTTGTTAACAGCAGGTGTTCATTACTAATGCTCAATCAGCACTTAATTAATCACATAATTATCTCATTAACTTTAACACTGCTTCAGTGTTACTTTAACACTCTTTTAGAGTGGGACCATATATGCTCCGAGCAGTGTTAATTTAACACTCAGGATTTTACTGTGTATGCTTCCAATTGGGTCTATTTTTAAAAAACACAGCATATCATTTAACTCTTACGCTGATGACACACAAATATATATGCCAGTAAAGAAGGAAAGTAGCTCACTAGGGCCTCTTCTTGCTTGTTTGAATGATCTGAAAACTTGGTTAGATGAGAATTTTTTGCATATGAATGAATCTAAAACAGAGATTATTGTGTTTGCACCCCCAAATACATATGGGTCCTTTAAGTTTGATTTAGGCCCTTTATCTATTCATGGCAAATCCATGGTAAAAAAATGTAGGGGTACTTTTTGATGAGTCGTTAAAATTTGACAAACAGATCGATGCTGTTGTCAGATCAGGCTTTTTTCAATTAAGAACACTGACAAAGGACAAGCCATTTTTGTCGTTTTATGATTTCGAGAGAGTGATGCATGCATTTGTGTCTTGCCACGTCTGGACTATTGCAATTCCCTGTATGTGGGGATTAGTCAGTCCACTTTGTCTCGATTGCAAATTGTCCAGAATGCTGCTGCAAGATTGCTGACAGGCTCTCGGAAATGGGACCATATTACCCCTATACTTTCTTCTCTAGATTGGCTGCCAGTCCATTATAGGATTGAGTTTAAGATTTTGTTGTTTGTTTTTAAATCTTTAAATGGTCTTGTACCACCATATCTTTCAGATTTATTACAACCATACTCACCATCCAGAAACTTAAGGCGAAACGTAAATGATGGGGCGATCGTGCTTTTTCAGTGATGGCTCCGAGACTTTGGAACAGTTTGCCGTTAAATATAAGAACAGCCTCCACACTCCCCATACAGTTATGCATAAAAAATACCACAAAAAGAAAGTTAGTCAATATCACACAAAGAGTGCCAATTTTTACCTCTAAAAATAAGCATGATTACAAATTATACTGATTTTATGCAACAGTTCAATAAACAAGAAGTTAATATTAAGAGACTTACGTTTTAGACACCATATTGCCTGTTTTTGCTCTATTTCACCACCAAAAAATATTTCCAAACACAGCCACAGCACTTGTTTTGTGTCTCTGAGCAACATGACAGTGTTTTGTTCCTGAATGAATCAACCGTTTAATGATTTGGTTCAATTGCAATGACTCACTTATTAACCGTGACTTGCTGCCACCTACTGGCAGATTTAATTTAACATTTAAAGTATCTTCGCTTTTAAAATAACTGTAAACATCAGTATTCAATGTTTTATGTGTAAAATAATAAAATATTATTCATGCAATTGTAACTGCAGGTTAAATGCATTCATGTCTCTCTGAGCTGAATTAAATAGTGTGTAAATAGGCCTACATCTAAATGCCTCTTCTGACGCAGCTTCTGTGTTTCCTCTGCATTGCAAAGATGAATTTTGTTGATACTGATATCATTTGTTTGGTAACAGCCCCAATGACTTATTACTCTAATTGACTGATTAAATGTAAGAATTTGATTCAAAAGATGATGCACACTTTTAGAAAAAATGGCTTTATAAAAGGTAAAAATGCCCATAAAATGTAAAAATCAATTTAAACTGATTGGAAAAGATTAATTTCTATCGCTGCTGTGAACTGACCCGCACACAGAATATGAAGGATATCAAAAACAAGTTTCAAACACTCACACACACGTACGTAGAAAGACATTTAAGAGGGTTTATTCTCCAAATAACTCTAATTTCATGTTGCAGAACAATATGTTTAGAAATTGTGTATGGACTCTTGTTCCATAGGAAGTTACCTTCCTGTCCACTGATTTTTTGCCTCTCACAAAAGCCACAAAGCCTTCCAAGAAGACAGTAAAGGCTTATGTCATGATTGAGCTTTAGTTAGGCTGAAACTTGAAAGTTAAGTTGCACAACAAATGCAATGTTTAGGTATTATTATTATTTTTATAACTATAACTTTGATTTATGCCTTAGTTTTAGTTTGTACCGTTTACCTTTTTTAAAGTAATGCAAAATTGATTATTATATTTCTTGATTCATGCCTTAGCTTTAGGTTGTAATGTTTACTTTTTTAAAGTAATGTGAAATAGATTTGTGCAAAATAAAAATATAAATACAATTTAATAAAATTATGTTCTTTATTGATATATTTGTATTTGCCTTTTGAATGTAATTTGGCAATTAAATGTTGTTTAGCTTTCACGGTTATTAATGCAGCAGTTCCTAATCACAGTCCTCGCCCCCCCCCGCCCGCCTGCCCTCCCATTTCATATGCATCTCTTATCACGTGTGACGTTTGTTCTGTTCGACCACAAGTGCCCTGCGAAGTGGACATCACCAGATATTCCACCATGACTCCAGTTCAAAGCGAACGTATATGTTCCATACAAAGGGCATTAAAGTGTGCGAGACGTAAATTTAAATAGTATATATTTACAGAGGTATATTATGTCACACTTCATATTTCTCTAGAAAGTTTTGTCTGTGTGTGAAGACGCTGCGCAGCGCAAATCCGTGAATGAATGTTCCGAAGTGAAGTAAACTTCAACGGATTTCCCCTGCTCAGGGAGTAGGGAGCAATGAACACTGTGTAGGGAGCATATCAATCGGAACACAGTTCACGCACGTAGCTCACTTCTAATGAGCTGATGATCTGAATCAAGTGTGTTAACTAAGAGACATGCAAAATATGGGGCCGAGGACTGGGTTTGGGAACCGCTGTATTAATGTATGCAATTTCAGCAATAAAAATGTTAATTTCTCTAAAAAGGACACAAATTAGTTGTTTATTTTAAGAGACCTATCTTATTTTCTCTTCTATATTTAGTATTGCTCTTTAATAAAGAAAAATTACCGATTACTCGATGGAATAATTGGTAGAATACTCGATTACTAAAATAATCGATAGCTATAGCCCGTGTATTTTCCTTGTATTATTTCTGAACATATAATATGTATAAGACAAGTGTGTACAAGATGTAGTTGTAGTTCATGCATCTTTTCTGCAAAGATATTTAACAAGTGATTTGTTTAACATTTACATCATGTTGACAACTTCATGTGTGCTGCACTTGAAATAGAATTTTCTTTAACTAGAGAGTTAATAAAGAACAAGTTACTTGAATCATGCTGTAGTTACATTTTCAAGTACGCTAAATATAAACAGAATATCATGCTATTGATACGCACTTTAATGAGATCAGGTAGACACTGACAACCCCTGAGGTAGACCAACTCTGCTTGCATTCATTCACGTGATTTGTTGCCTGGTAGTGTGATTTATTCAGTGTCATTTCTAATCACCCAGACACTGACGCTTGGACTCTGAGAATGCTGCCCACTTCAAGCACTGATTATAGACATATTTAACACACTCTCCTGCTCTAAACATGAATCTGCCATTCATCTATAACATATCACAAAGATGTTCAGTTTTGCACTTTTTATAAAGAACTTTGAATATTGAATATTCTCAGCTTCCATGTGCATCACACATAAAAACAGCATTAATTAGTTTTCTTTCTCAAAAGGAGCAAGAATTTTTCAGTTTTATTTCCTCCTTATTTCCAGGAGTAAATGTGTTTTGATCAGTATCAATGGAAAGAAAGTAATGTTTACATTAGTCCATTATGACCAAAAAAAGAATCTTGCACAATTAAGTGATAGAAATTAATGAATTTCATTTGATTTAATTCAGCAGTAGATATTGGATTTAACTCCCTGGGGTCGACGGTATCGCCGGCGTGACCAGATTACTTTTTCTAAGATCAGTGCGAAAGACACTCAAAATACTGTCGATTTTTGTCACACAAATAAGTGTTACACAAGTGTTATCTGTTAGGTGTCTACTTTTATTTCTGTACACTCACAGTAACAGCAAAAATGTAGGGTACGCGTTCTGTCTTTTCTGTCTCCGCCAACTGCTTTTAGAAACGCGTCACTAAAATGAACTGAAACTCAGCGAAAACATGACACACAGACATGAGAAATATATCTATAGAAAGCTTGAAGTGTCTACTTTTAAATGAAGTCATGTTGAAAACAAATATTCTGTGATAAAGTAATCCGTATGAAACCAACACGATGTCCAGTTTCTCCATCTGATCTAATTATTTTTAATGTGACCACGCCCATGAGCTACTTTCGCTTTTGTTATAACAATCGTCCACGTAAGACACGCTGCATGTAAACGCCCACATCAGCTCCGTGCACAAAGCGTGAGGATTCATCTAGTTCATCTCGGCTACTGTTCGTTTCTGGAAAAAGACGCACTGAGAGGAATAACCCTGGATTTACCTCGGAAAATAGAAGCGCTGAGAGGAATAACCCAGGATTTACCTCGGAAAATAGAAGCGCCGAGAGGAATAGGATTTACCTCGGAAAATAGACCGAGAATAGACTGGGTTATTCCTCTCGGAAGCGCCGAGATGAATAACCCAGGATTTACCTCGGAACCCAGGATTTACCTCGGAAAATAGACGCGCCGAGAGGAATAACCCAGGATTTACCTCGGAAAATAGACGCGCCGAGAGGAATAACCCAGGATTTACCTCGGAAAATAGACGCGCCGAGAGGAATAACCCAGGATTTACCTCGGAAAATAGACGCGCCGAGAGGAATAACCCAGGATTTACCTCGGAAAATAGACGCGCCGAGAGGAATAACCCAGGATTTACCTCGGAAAATAGACGCGCCGAGAGGAATAACCCAGGATTTACCTCGGAAAATAGACGCGCCGAGAGGAATAACCCAGGATTTACCTCGGAAAATAGACGCGCCGAGAGGAATAACCCAGGATTTACCTCGGAAAATAGACGCGCCGAGAGGAATAACCCAGGATTTACCTCGGAAAATAGACGCGCCGAGAGGAATAACCCAGGATTTACCTCGGAAAATAGACGCGCCGAGAGGAATAACCCAGGATTTACCTCGGAAAATAGACGCGCCGAGAGGAATAACCCAGGATTTACCTCGGAAAATAGACGCGCCGAGAGGAATATCCCAGGATTTACCTCGGAAAATAGACCCGCCGAGAGGAATAACCCAGGATTTTCCTCAGAAAATAGACGCGCCGAGAGGAATAACCCAGGATTTACCTCAGAAAAGGAACAAGATGCGATGCGCAACCTGACCCAGCCGAGGAGATCATTCTGAGTAAGTAATGTTTATTTTTTGCATTAGTTTACCTGTTATTGTGGCATAAACTTGAACACATTTACTAGTTGGGTTTTCCCCAAACTATAATTCCTGACTAAAATGTCTGAAATCGAGTGAAACATTTTGAATATGATGGGCACTTCATTGTATCTAAATTTCTTATGACGCGATGATGTTTTCATGCTCTATATAATATAAAACAATATGATATAAAAGTAATATGAGTGCATGATGAATGCTACAAGTCTAAGAATGTTTAGACCATGTTGATTATTAATACTCTGTTCACAAATAGATTTTATAAATATATTTCTATAGATGTTTAACGTCCTAAACAATAATAATTTGTTTCTCTGATATAAAATGTGAAACACTTAAATATCAGGTATGGTTTACTTGTTTCACTTGTTGAACAGAATCTGTTTTCAGGAATGACTCGAAGTCTGTTCACATCTCTGTGGTTAGATCAGTGTGCACAATATTGTGTCTTCAACCTTCATTATGTATGTTTTAATTATACTGTGTTGTGAATAAAATACAAATAATAAAAAATAAAAAAACATTTTCAATCTCCTCACATTCTCTGTTACCTGCCTCACAGTCACATGACTCACTGAGGGGCCTTTAGGGGACGGCGCTTTGTCTCTCAGGTGTGAATCACTGCCTCGCATAAAGCTTGTCTATCACAAAAAATTTAAATCAATATATTGTTTTCTGTGAATGAGTAAGCAGAATGATTTTCTCATAATTTTGATGTAAATATTCTAGCCTACAAGACTGATTACTCAAAAGTCTTATTCAGAGCTATTCAGTATGGGTTTTATGGCCTT